TTTTATCGGTTGAATTTCAACCGCTGGGCGAACACTAGTATAAATAATTCACCTATTTACCTGTCGAAAAAATAAAAGTTTTCGATGCAACCTCGAAGTCAATTATTCTCTATGTTGCACAGGTGTGTAGGCAAGTATGAGTGGAAAAACTTCTTAAGTAATTTATAAAAATGGTTGTTTTTTCCCCCAAATTACATATATCCCACACATATGTTTTATATAACCCGATTTTTCAGTATGAAATCTAATAGAGTCCCGCGTATATTTGCAAACGAAATTATTCGCCAGGGCATATTGGGTTAAAAAGTGACAGTCTAGCACAAAGTGTGAATTCATCCCCACTAACAGATTTTTTCACCACAACTCTTAACGACTATATCCGTAAATTTGCTCGATAAGCAATAAGAAAAATAATTCAGTATAAATCTCGCTAGTGCCCAGAAATCTACATCACTTTATCTCTATCCACAGCTTTGTGCGCTAAAAACACCATATTTCTGTGACAAGCACCTGCCTACATAATACGTTTCCTATCCATAAGTCAAGTCCCGGAGGGGTTTGCAAAATCAGCTTAATTAGATTTTTATGGTCGCTTAATTTTTTCTGATCGATATTAGAGCTTTTTAGGCGAACTAGATTTGATTGGTGCTTTTTTAAAGTACATCTCCTCAAAACTTTAATCTCAGAAGAACTATTTAGGCAGATTTATTTTTTTGCTGCAACTTTAGGTTACAAGTTTCAGGTTAATTGTGATACGAAACTTTTGGTATTTGACCATTTATACCCAATCGCGGCGAAATATACACGGCCATCAAGGTATAAATACCAGGCTAACTCAAAATAAATTTATATTACCACCCTTAATCAGCATTTCATTCATTTAATTTAATTATTTAATAACAAACTTTAACTTTTTTCAGTATTCGGAGATACGAGTACAATTGGCACAAATTTCCGCGAATTTGGAGACAATGAATCGTATGGTGCAAACAATAAATATACGTAATTTTAATGGTAAGTAAACTTTCATATGTAATTGTTATTTAGCAGAAACAAACATAAATATATTAAAATAAATTCCTGCTCTCACAGAAAAAGAAATGGACGAACTGCGTACTCAAAATCTTAAAATGGGCAATCAACTAATGAACAAATTCAAGGAATTCAAATCGAATATGCCGCCAGAGAATGATTTCACATTGGAGGCGCGCATGAAACGAACGCTATTCTATGGTCTCTATCAAAGTTATATACAAATATGGACGAAAAATGAAGAATTCCTGCAGCTGTACGAGCGAAAGCTGAAGAAGAATTTGGAAATACATTCAAAAATAAGTGGGTACTATCTATTTATGCGTAGATGCACTGCAATCACTTTAAATTAGTAAATACAAGCAAATTGTTATTGAAATATTTACCCTTTCTAGTGAATTGCAACTCCACCGAAGAGGAAATCGAAGAACTGATAGCAAATAAGACAACAAACCTCTTCGTAGGCAATGTAAGTTTTTAGATTGATTTTCAAAACGACAAGACAATGCAATAAATACCTAAACAAACCTGTGTATATCGCACACAGATTCTAGAAGAAACGGAAAATGAACGACGCACGCTACGCGATTTGATGGATCGTTTCAATGAGCTGAAGAAGCTGGAGAAGTCCATTGAGGATGTGCATGCGTTATTCCTGCGTATTCAAACACTTGTAATGGAACAGGTGCGTATATCACACACACACACACACGCACACACACACATACTTTGTTCTCCAACACTGTCAGTTGCTTAATTCCCAATATGCACAAAGCAAACATATTTCCAACTTTTTTCCAATCTTTGAGAAATTCTTGATTTACAAATGGAGATCCAACATTTTTCGCAAGGTTTGACTAAAACTTGAATAAAGTTAGAATTCAAATTGATATCCAAGCTTTTCTCAAGTAGAGAACTCAGATTATTTTCCAAACAAAAAATGTGCCCTTTTGTTAGAGAATGGCTTGATTCCCCAATTGAGATACACTTGATAATCAACATTGGACCTTGAAATTTTTATTGGATCTCCACTTGATCTCCAACCCAAATGTTTAATGGGTTCTTATTCACGGGTACGTGTATTTGCAGAGTGAAACGATAAACCGCGTTGAATTTGTGGCTCAACAAGCGACACACTTCGTGGATAAAGGTCAGCATAAGCTGAAAAAGGCTGAAACGTTGAAGCAGAAGGCTTTAAAGGTAAGTTGATTGAATCAAAAGATGCCATCGATTCGCCGACCTCTTAGCGAGGTTCATCGCTGCTTGCTGATTTTGTTGTTGCTTTCACACACAAACTGAGAAGCGACGAATCGAAGGCGGCTAATATTCGCTTTCTAATTTGTGTACATACATACTTACATATTTCTAACGTTTGTTTTTATTTTCAACTCATTGCTGGCTTGCAGAAGAAATTTTGGCTTATCGGCATTGCGGTGGCTGTGTTAGTTATTTTAATATTAATTGGTATTTATTTATGATCAAAAGAATAATATATTTTGGTAATTGAGAAAAACATGCGACGTGTCTTACTTCCTCAGTAAAGTTTCAAACCGGTAATTTTTGACAGTCAACAAGAGAAAAGAAAGCGGATGAGTGTGGTGAGTAAAGCGTTGTGGTGGTGAAATGTGATTGGTCTCGACCAATGCTGCCATCTCGAACGGTTTTATTGATAGGCAAGGTAGGCAGTTTTGGGACTCAAAAATCTGCAAAAAGTTAAAATTTAATCAATAAATAGACGAAATAAACCTTTGGGTGTTCACTGTCGTTCCAGTATGGGTTTGAAAATGGTGATGTGAACATTTTGTAACTTTTTTAGCATTAAACTAGGAGCAGTCTTTTCCAGTAAACGTCGCAAAATCGTCGGAAAACTTTACTAGTTTTAATAGACCTTTCTTTTTTACGAAAATTCGACCATTTCATTTACAGTTTAAATTGTTGTTTTTCTTTACCTTAATTTGTTTGTTTTCATCAGTCATTGCGTTCACATAAAATGCAAATATGGAAAAGCTCCCAATAAATAAATTTAAAAAAATTTATTGGTGTTGTTTTAATGCAACCCACCTCCGAGGTTACGAGGCATTAACGCTAAAAACATACCTTCAAGTGTTACGGTGTCGTTTTACAATTTCTTACGGAAAACAACAATTCCACAGAAATTACGGTTAGAAAACTGATATCAACATTTTGGGACCTATTTCGAAACGAACTGTGAATACCCTGATTAAGAATTCCCAGAAAGGACATGGAAAGGCACTAAAATAACGAAATAGGCCTATCAAATGGGAGAATATAAGTAGCGCGATAGGAGAAAAGGCGTTTTTTATTATTATTTTCCCACTGTGTTGGCAATAGGTATTAAAAAAATTAACGTGCAATCCACGATACAGCGAACAAGGTGGCGCTGTCGGACATACCCCTACTTTGGTTTTCTCGACGACGCCCCAGAAACTTTAAATGCACTGAAATTCACTAAAATTTGCACAAAAATCACAATTTTTCCACATTTTCCTAATTAATTATCATTGTAAATTACATATTTTTAAAATTTAGCACAATTAAAACACGTTTACGGTCGAAATTTTAATATTAAGAAAATTCACACATTCTCTTTTATCTTGTTCGTCGAACAAGACAGTTGTCAACTTCGTGTCAACTTTGTCCAATAGTTATATAATTAGTTATAATTCGGTATAATTAGTTATCCAAAACAATATCCAATCAAAAAAAAAACAAACCTTGTAGTTTAGAAAAAATATATCAAAAATGATACAATTGTATCAAAACGGCAACCCTGTCTGACACACCCTAATCTATCGCACATGCCACATAAGGGTTAATTCGCAACGAATGTACCTCCAAAACGGAATGTCAAAATTTCCAAAAAATTGGAATGCACTACCGGAAATCACTGCAATGCACTACCGTAAGTATAGGGTGATAAACATAGGTCTCACCCTGTTTCATTTGATCCCAACCGATATTTGGCCCCATATAATAACCCATCCATGTAACTGTAATTCCATTTTCAATAGAAAAGCCTTTGTGTTTGTGAAAAATTGTTCGCCAAATAAATAATAATATAAAATATATAATTGCATATTGATATTGCTACCATTTACCTTTTTGATGAGCCGTGAGCGAAAGTGCCGTAAGCGAAAGTGCCGTGTGCAAAATTGCATTAACGAAAATAGCGAGAGGCGGTTTTTTTCGTTCCCCAAGGACGCAAATGAGGTGGCCAAGTGGAGAAAGAATCTCCGCATAAAGGATAATAGGCCGCACAACTCCTTTGTGTGTGTGGATCATTTCGAGTTTTTCGAAGTTGGTCGGATGTTTCTAAGACCAGGTGCTATCCCAACACTTACATTGGGTGAGTATGTTATAATGTTTATAAAAATATCGTTGCTGGAATAATCAAGTAGTGGGGTTGGCTTTACATTTTCACAAAATTATCACAAATTTCGTCATGGAACTTGGCGGGGTGTTAAGAATCGTATATATTTACATTATTTATCACTCTTTTTACTTTATTGGTAATAGTATTTAACTAATTCGTTGGTAAATTCTTTGCAGTTTCACTAGCAAAGTTTCATATTAAAAAGAGCACTTAACACTTATATTTTTATAAATATATGATCTTTGCAATGTTCACGTGTATTTTGTGTACATTAAACGTATTTTATTTTATTTTTTAACAATATACGCAGAAAGGAATTCTACGCAAAAATACTAAAAAATAAATTAACTAGGCATCGATGACAACGTACAAGAATGCGCCAAGCCTACGCAGATGTTTGTCAAAAAGATGAACGACTTTTATGATGAGCTAAACTGCGAAAATTTAAATTCGATAAATCCATTGATGTGTCCAATAAAACGGGGGGGACAGGGGGAAAATCTCAAGGCTAGATACACATTTGGAATTTTTGCGGTCAATGACGCTCAATGGCACCTGAATGAAATGCAGTGAACGCTTAGGTACAACAATAAAGTCCATGCAAATGCTTTCGAAAGAGCTCTTTGCCCAGCACCAAAGAGTACAGCAAATTTTTCAAAATTTTTTAAGTAAATTTTGTCAAGACGACTTGGAAAACTTTTTTATTTGTGAAAGAGCTAGCCGAGAGACAAGTACCAATGTTACAGCTCACGAAATCGGATATATGCTGCTACATCAATTTCAATTAGTATTTCGCATGAAAAATTGGTTAATAAATGGGTGGATTGCGATGACGACGATGGAAATTTAGAAAATAATTTAAACCCCAAAGATCGTTATTTTAAAGAACGGGAAACGTTAAATGAGCGACTCATCATTGAAGAAGTAGAAATTCCAGACGTGAATAATGCTGACGTTCAGGTGCAGCGGTATTTGACTGCTTATGCGATTGACCAGCTTAAATGCGAAAAGTGCACCAGCATCTTGATGGAGGCACATGGTGATTTATTACTAGACTCCGAAGCCTTGATAAAAGCCACAAAAATCTTTAGGGACCACTGCGGTTTGAAAATTTTCAATCCTCAAGACTCCGTTTTCGAGGTGTGCCGACTTCAGATGGTGTAGTTCCGTCAACTATTCGCAAAATACGCTCATTTAACGGATCTCAGATCTCGGATGTTGTCAGCTATCATAGAAAAAACCGATCAAGTTTTTCCACTGTGGAAAGCTGGCGACTTTTTAGACCATCGCCTAAAACTTGTAGAAATTTTTATAACCAATCTCTTATTTGAAAACGCAAATTGGACGTTGAGGGAGGAAGTTTAAAGTCGCGGGATAACATTTTGTTCGATCTTTATTGTCACAGTCCCTCAAAGTAAGAAGCAAATCTCCTGAAGGTACGTTACCTCTATATCTTTTTTAAAATGTTTATAATTTTAATTTTTTTATTTTTTCAATTTAATATCGGATTTTTCCCCATGTTTTCGTCGGGTTTAGTTTGCTGCTTTTGTAAGTAAGTCGTAAGGTTTCTATGCTTGCATCAACCACTTCGTAAGAAGTTTCAACTACTTCGTGGCCTGTATGCCAACTACTTCGTAGGAAGTGTCAACTACTTCGTGACCTGTGTTCCAACTACTACGTGAGAAGTTTGAACTACTTCGTGGCCTGTGCGCCAACTACTTCGTGGGAAGTGTCAACTACTTCGTGACAAGTGTCAACTACTTCGTGGCCTGTGCGCCAACTACTTCGTGAGAAGTGTCAACTACTTCGTGGCCTGTGCGCCAACTACTTCGTGAGAAGTTTCAACTACTTCGTGGCCTGTGCTGCAAGAGTGTGCAAGTGTGTGGCTTAAGTTGCAAGTTTTTGCTAGTTTTGCGTTCAATAACTTCTTCTGGATTTTTCTCTTGCTCTCAATTTTACTCTCTATTTTTCTTTTACGCTCTCCCTGCAAGTAGTTACTGGAAAAGTTATTGAACGGACCTAATTTGAATTACATTAAGCATCATACCATCAGCTGTTTTCTTACTAGCAAATAATAATAATAATAGATTGGCGCTTACACATATGTTAGTGTTTGGCCGAGCTTCTCCTCCGATTTGTGGCGTGCGCCTTGATGTTGTCACACAAAGCGGAGGGACCTACAGTTTTACGCCGACTCCGAACGGCGATTGTATTTTTATTGAGACGCTGTTTTTCATGGCAGAAATGCACTCGGAGGTTTGCCATTGCCTGCCGAGGGACGACCGCTGTTAAGAAAAAACCTTTTTATATATTTTTGCGATGTTGCTTTGACCAGGGTTTGAACCCAGGCGTTGCGGAGTGGAAGCGCGCACTGCTTACCACTACACCACAGCGGCCGACTAGCAAATAGTTGCTAGTAAAAATTGTCCCAGTAAAAATCCAGTCAGCTGGCATTTTTCCCGGGTGGGGTTTAGTAGCGCTCACAACTATTTCGGGCTATTCCGTCCAAAGGGGTGGTCCGATCCAAAAAAAATTTCACACACTTGTAGTCAAAGGTCTACGCATTATTTTACCACTCACTTTTGTGAATTTTGGTCACTAATTTTTTTACAGATTGGGTTTGAAATATGCCCTTTTTTGTAAAATGCGGAAATTAGCGTACATTTATCACTCCTATTTCCCTTAAAGCAGCCACTTCACGAATACATTTTTGTATTCCGCTTCACTTTACACTTTACTCGATTAGTTATAACTTGCTTTACCACTTTAATATTAACCAATTAATCACAATTCATTAAATAAAAACACCTTCAAAATCACGCGTCTGACTTTGGTTGCATATGCAAATTAAATGGCGGAGTTCA